TCTCTCTTTCTCTCTCTCTCTCTGTGTGTGTGTGTGCATGTGAGTGTGTGCATGAATATGCTAAAATTAGTAATTTTTTGTTTCTTCGCTTTTGGGGGCCTGTATCAGTACACTGAGTAAAATGTTCTCCCACGCTTTCTTCTGGTTGCCTAATGGCTTCTGATTTTTTTTTTTTTTTTGCTTAGGTCTTTAACACATTTTGAGTTTATGTTTGAACAGGGAGGGAGTTAGGGCCTTGTTTAATTGATCAATGTCAATTTTTTCTTTTCTTTTTTAAAGTTTTTTTTTTTTTGAGGAAACAGGGTCTCACTATGTAGTCTTGGCTGGCCTTGAACTTGTTATGTAGGGTGAGCTGGCCTCAAACTTATGGAGATGTGTCCGGCTCTGTCTCTGAAGTGATGGGATTAAAGGCATGTGCCACCATGCTTGGCAAACCACTGTAATTAAAAAAAAGTCTGCATGTATGTATGCCCACCATGTATGTGCAGTGCCCAAGGAGAAGGAAAGGGCAGTCGGCCCCTGGAGTCAGAGGTACAGCTAGTTGTGAGCTATCACATGGGTGCCAGGAACCAAACTCCAGTCTTCAGCTAGAGTAGCCCATGCTCTTAATGCTGGCTCTATCTCTAGCCCAGGATGACTATAATTTTATAGTGAGTTTTAAAATTGGGAAAGGGACTCCTCCAGTTTTGTTTCCTTTTCTTTTAAAATCGATTAGTCTATTTTCTTAAGAATTATTATTTTATATGCATGGATCTTGTGCCTGAATGTATGTGTGTGCAGCACATGTGTGCCTGGTGCCCATGAAGACCAGAAGAGGGCACTGGATCCCCAGAGATGGGAGTGAAGGATGCCTATGAGCTGCAGTGTGGTGACTGAGAACAGAACTCAGGTCCTCTGGAAGAGCAGCCAGTGCTGTCAGCCACTGAGCCATCTCTTTCTTTTTAAAAAGATAGCATTGACCATCCAAGGTCCCCCGACTTTCCCTGTTAACTTTAATGTCACTTCTCAAATTGTACAAAGTAAGGATCTACGGTTTATATGACCACACAGGTCAGTTTTGGGAATATTGCCATTTCAAGATGAAAACTTCAAATCTGTGACTGTGCTATGACTTTTCATTTGTTTATCTGAATATATTCAGCAAATAGGACTTAAACACTTGTTCGTGAATGCATTACTAAGTGTTTACTTTTTAGTGTCACCATGGTGATGGAATTCTTCCCTAATTCTACCTTATTCTTTTGAAAACTTCATACCTGTATGTATCTTGGTCACATCCACCCCATCTCCCTCCCCCCAGTTCCTCCTGACCTGCACCCAGCAGGGCTCCCAGTTCCTTCTTTCTTTTCTTTCTCCCACTAAGTTCACTCAGTGCTGCCCACGTGGGCATGTGGGCTCATCCTCTGGGACATGGGTGACTTACAGTGGTGACACTCTCAGAGAACGATGGCTCCTAAGCTCTCAGTAGCCATCAGATACCGTCAGATGCCTTCGGCCCCTCTGCTGATGCACAGGGAGAGACCTCACTTCTGTGTGTTCATCCTGTACTTGCAACCGGGCTGAATTTGCTTATTAGTCCTAAATTTTCTGTGAATCCCTGAGGATTTCTAGGTAATAGGCCATTGTTTCTGAAGGTAGAGAGGGCTGTGCATCTCATTTCTGGTCTGGATGCTCCTGTGTTCAGGTTACTGATTCAGTCCTACTTACCTACAGGGCTCTTCAGGCTTTCTGTCTTCTCTTTCTCCTCTTGAATCCGTTTCTGTGGAGTTTTCCAGGAATTTGTTTGTTTTATCTAGGTTATCTTATATATGTATATGTATATATATGTATATGTATGTGTATGTGTATCTGTCTGTCTATCTATCAGTTTTGATTTTCAAGACGATGAAGTTTGGGACTGGAGAGATGGCTCAGAGGTTAACTGCTCTTCCAGAGGTTCTGAGTTCAATTCCCAGCAACCACATGGTGGCTCACAACCATCTGTAATGGGATCTGATGCCCTCTTCTGGTGTGTCTGAAGACAGCCACAGTGTACTCATAGACATAAAATAAATAAATAAGATCTTTAAAAAACACATACTTAATACAAATAACCTTTAAAACAAAAGTGGACGAGGTTTGGGGAGAGGCAGTGACTGTGAGCATGGAGCAGAGGCAGGGGCTTGAGAGCTGTTGCAGAGGGGAGTGGAACACACCAAGGGGCATGGAGAGTGAGGAAGAGGGAGCGGCGAGGTCCAGTGTAGACGCCAGCAACAAGGAACAGAGAAACAATGATAACGCAGTATTCACAGTACTGAGGCAAACAACCGTCAACCTCACATCCATACCCAGCTAAGCTGTCATTCAGAAGTGAAGGCAAAATAACACAGTTTCAAAAGGTACCTCCAGAGAGTTTAGCATTCACAAAAACGTTCACTGAGGGAGTTGTCAATGGATATACTGCTCAGAGTAAAATCCTTAATCAAAAGTAACAGAATGGGGTTTTAGGGTCACCAGATTTTGGGATCCAAGGTGTTCCCTAACTTAGTTATAGCAATTTTATCTCTGTTTATTTGCAGAGCCCAAGCTGGTGTTCGCTAAGGAGCAGCAGGCACGCAGCGAGGTGAAGGCAGAGGCAGGGGCCAGTGCCACACTGAGCTGCGAGGTGGCCCAGGCCCAGACTGAGGTGACATGGTTGAAGGATGGGAAGAAGCTGAGCTCCAGCTCGAAGGTGCGAGTGGAGGCCTCAGGCTGCTCCAGAAGGCTGGTGGTGCAGCAGGCGGGCAAGGCGGATGCTGGGGAGTACAGCTGCGAGGCCGGGGGACAGAAGGTGTCCTTCCATCTGGATGTGGCAGGTAGGTTTTTTTTTTCTTCCGTAGTATGCATATTAGAAATTAAGATGAGACACTACTGCCTTGTGACCTGTTTGTTTTCTGAACTTCACCTATAATCACAATTGTTGAACATATTCAGGCACCTTGATTTTGTGATTTTTTTCCTTATTTTTAAAAGATTTTATACTTCTCAGCAATTCTACGAGGAAGAATCCTAACTATTTTTATTTTATGATGAGGCACAGAGGAGCTTTGTGTTGGTTAGTTAGACCATTGCAGAGCCACGATTTGGGTGGAAGTTAGTTCCCCCCTGAAGACTTTGCTCCACTGGCATCTGCCGTAGCAGGTCTCTGGGTGTGTGAGTTCTGGAAATTTCTTTTTGTTTGAAAACACTGATTTTAGCAGTTTTGTTGGTTATTTTATGTCAACTTGACACAAGCCAGAGTCGTTTGGGAAGAAGGACACTCAGTTGGGAAATGTCTCCATAGCAGTGGTGTGTAGGCAGGTCTGTGGTGCATTTTCTGAATTAGTGATTTGTGTGGAGGCCTCAGTTCACTCTGTTGAGTGCTACGCCTGGGTAGTGGGTAGGGTATTTAAGAAAGCAGGTAGATGTGGAAAACAGGTGTACAAATAAATCTTTTGCAACCCAGAACTGACTGTTCAGTGTGAGCTTTGACACACAAGACAGCTGAAAGGAACGCTGGTGTTAATAGTGAGGCTTATGCTGAACATGAGCTTGGAGCCAGAGCTACTTGTGAAGGGATGCATGCTCCTGTGGCAGATCCTGCACACAGATTAGTATTCTGGGAGTGTCAGGAATGAATATGATCTGAAATCATTCTTAAGGGAAGTGGGGGGTGGGGTCAGCAAGTGAAAGGCAGATCTACTTTGAAATGATTCCTGAACTAAATTGCTTAAAAGAGGCCAGGGAGCCTCTGGTGGAGAAATTGGAAGTGAGCATGTGTCTGTAAGTTAAGGAGAGATGAAAGAATAAAAGAACCATGGGTTGATAGCACAATCAGACTAAAGATCTTTCTTTGAGAAAGGGTTATCTTTAGAAATTTTGAACTCGAGTGACCTTGGTGGACAGAGAAGGACTCACGTGTAACATCCCAATAAATAATTCTGTCTAGTTCTATACAGTAAAAGAAAATGAAAACCCTCTCCACAGATGAAAGAAATAAACAGGCTGAGGAAGCCCCGAGGAGCACTTCTCCTACCTCAGGATCCTGCCTTGAGGCTTTGTCCAACTTTCCTTCATGACAGACTGTGATCAGGACGTGTAGGCTGAAACAAATCCTTTCCTCCCCACGTTGCTTTTGGTCATGGTGTCTTACCGCAGTAGATGCCATGATTAAGACAGCAGTAATACAACAAAGCCCTCATGCCGTTTGCTTGATGCTGGGGTTCAGAGCATCTCTGGGTATCCTGGTTTTTGGCTCTTGTATCCTGTCTGTCCCTGGAAGACTTCCTGTTATACTGGATACACTTTCATGTTCTTGTGCTGTTGTCAGGCACATGCTTCTCCCTGCTCAGTTATGCTTCTCTCCTTGCTTTAGTTTTCATATTTGCTTTTGGTCCATCTTCCAATTCACTAATCTTATGTTCTAGTATATACAATGCCAATACCACTGGAAGTAAGTTTACTTTTGGTTGTTGCATTTTTAAACTTTATAATTTCTGTTTGACTTAACAGAATGTATGGATGCTAGATTTGGTGACTAAATTGCCATCGTGTGTGCATTACACACACACACACACACACAGCCACATACAGACACATATACACACACACAGACACATATAGACACACACAGTCACACAGATACACACACACAGACATACACAGACACTCATAGACACACAAACACACACACAGACACACACACAGTCACCTAGAC